ATTCCAAATCCCACATTTCTCTTATGGAATCAACAAGACGAGATCATCCTCAGTACCATCATCTCTTCAAAAACAGATGTTGGCCAACAATTAGCACTGACATTTAACAATGAGGGTACTTTACTTGCTGCCAATTAACAATTCAAAAACAGATGAAATACAAACAACCAAACCCTAATAATCCACCCAAACCACACAATTCCAGCACCTGAGAGAATTTCCACAGAGCGGCAGTGGTAGCCAAGCCGAAGTTGCCGCCGCATCCCCACCGTTCNCAAGACGAGATCATCCTCAGTACCCTCATCTCTTCAAAAACAGATGTTGGCCTACAATTAGCACTGACATTTAACAATGAGGGTACTTTACTTGCTGCCAATTAACAATTCAAAAACAGATGAAATACAAACAACCAAACCCTAATAATCCACCCAAACCACACAATTCCAGCACCTGAGAGAATTTCCACCCAAGCGGCAGTGGTAGACTAGCCAAAGTTGCCGCCACATCATCGCCGTAAGCCGTTCATCTTCCCCATCCTTTAACATCAAATAATTTTAATTGACACCACAATCATTAACAACATTCTTTCCCCAAATCTCTAATCTCTGTTTCTCTTGTAGAGATGAGAGAGAAGCAATGGAGCTCCAAATCACGAGTGGCTTTGTTTTCAGTTTCCACTGAAGAAGCCTATTTGCTTGCACAGTAACCCAAAGTTGATCCCACGTCGGAATCCTATAGATGAAGGCCAAGAAATTTTTCCTATAAATAAATGGGCCAACAGCTCTTTTGTTTTCAATTACTTCCTGGCCTGTCAATTGTTGGGTTGGAAGTTGGAAAGATTATAATTTATATTTTATATAGTATAAATGGTATAATTAAAAAAAAGCTTAAAAAAATTTTAAAAATGCGTGTTTGGGCCAGTGGGCCCGTTTTAGTGCGTTGACCGCATTGTTACACGCACACCCCGAATGCGAGGCGTTTCGGCCACGCGTCGCGCATTGGCGCGCGCCGCCTTTTAGAAAGTAGGGTAATAATTCAAATGACATAGGTACAATAATTTTATATGACGACAACTTTTGAAAAGCAAGGAATCTGCTTTTTAAAAGCGCAACTATTACATCGACAAACACTTCATGTAAAACTGATTTTTTCATGTAGGCCGAGTCATCAAGGTGTGTCAAACTTTGTTGCTTGGCCTGGTGTGTGTGAACCTCTGTGGTCAGCCTTTTGGGGTCAGTCTGATCTGCCGCATTCAGCCTCCATACAGCTTTGGCCTGTCAAGCTCACCATTATTGCTTACCTGAGCTAAAGATTTTGGCCTTTGGTGA